CCATAGATGGGGACTTGTGTGTTTCGCCCTCCCCAGTAAGTTCATGCATTTTTTTTTTTTTTTTTCTTGTTCCATTTCTGTTTAAAAGCAACCGCGTGTTTATTTAAAAATTCTTAGTCACTAAGTGATAGAATGCTTTGCTGTAAATGTTGCTTTTCACTAAGTGCCATTTGGGTGTTAGTGTCATTTGTTGTATCCAGTCATCCAGCCGGTCCCCATTTCGTAGCATCAGAAAAGCTGGCAGAGTGTTCTCGGGTTGTTCATCTCTCGTTTCACGGGTACATTTCCTGGAGCCTGTTGTGGCACTCATCCTCATGTCTAGATAGAGGGTTTGCTCGTCTTGGATGGTGTTTTTAGATGGTTTTCGATGTGGATCTGGGCTCCACCCACCCCGGGAAGGCACGGTTGCCTGGATGAGAGGCACAGGAGTTCCCAGTCCTCCGATGCCTTGGACCCCCTCGGTGGCATTCTCCTTGTGTGTCATTCTATCATTGAAACCTCAGAAAACCTTGTTTCTCGGAATCATACCCAAGACCCAAAGTACATGTTATCTTTAGAAAGAGAACTCCTGCTCTTGAAATCAAACTCCCTCGCCAACAGTTATGTACTGAGCACGTTCTGTGCTGAGCGGAGTAGTCACAGAGGGGCCCTTCGCTGCCGCTAAAGTGTTGGAAGTCTTACGGGACCAACTGACACACGCACTCACACACACTGACCGCATGCATTGTGCCCGTGTGAGTAGGACAGTGGGCCTAGAGCAGAGGGATTGAGGAAGCCTGTGGGAGGTGACATCGCAGTTGAAACCTAAAGATGAGTAGGGAGGAGTGGTAAGAAGTCGGCCTCACGGATCGTGCCTTAGGTGAGAGCTGTGTGCACTTCCGGTGTGTCTAAGGAAGGGAGCCAAAGAGGAGGGCAGTTAATGAGGGTCATTGTAGTGGTAGGGAAGGAAGGGCCAACATCTGCCCAGATGCACTTTTCATCCCCTCAATTTCCCTAAGGCTGGGCCCTGCATGAAAAAGGACATGTCAGAGTTGATCAGAACAGGGCCAGCCCGTGGTCAAGGGAGACGGTCCCACACAGCCAGCTGTGACTTGAAACCTAACCCTCGTGCTTGAATAAGACGGTGAGTGTGTGTGTACACGTGGCCGGAATGCCACAGAGATGGGGAGGTGCGATGGTGGTATGACCACGTCTTTTGGGGGAGTTCTCTGTCTTCCGCTGGTAAGTACATGCTCTCTGGCAGTTTAAAAGAAAGTGTACCAGAGCACCTATGAGTCCTAGCAAGTTGGGCACATGGGTGTGGAGAAGTAATTTTGGACCTATCTGTAGAATGAACAGATAGGCTATATTTTAAGTTCTCAAATATTCCTCTCTAAACCAAAGCAAAACCAAAGAAAAGAAAACACAATAGGAAAGGGCCTTCAAGAAAATGACTGATACTGTCTTTGTTGCAAACTCAGTAGCCTTCTGCAGTAAACACCCCATGTACGGGGTGGAGGTTAATGGCTCCCTGCTCACTCCATGGAGAATCTGCTGAGACGTGTCCCTGGGGAGGGGGTGGCGGCGTAATGCAGAGGACAAAACAACAA